TTATTTCTTCATGGGTTTATGTGTTATGTCTTACCTATTGCCGTACTCACAGTGTTTCTGTGTTCCGCCATATCTACTCTCGTGCTCACAGGGTTTCTGTGTTCTGCCTTACCTATTGTCGTGCTCACAGGATTTCTGTGTTTAGTTATGTGCCCTATTTTTTAGGGTTTGCTCTTGTGTTTCCACTGCGAACTTTGCTTTAGTTTGTCACTTGTTTCACTTGTGGTTGATGAAAAGACATTCTCTACAATTAGTGCTTCTCAAGTATGGTGTTCTATGACTCGCTTGTCAAGTTGGGGGTGCAAAATATCTTTAGCCAACTTGAGGGGGAGTGTTAGAGAGTCCTTACATCGTTAGGATTTGGGTTCCTTACTATGGTAAGACTTTGGTTTATCTAGTCCTATTATAATTGAGATTTATTTCCTATTGTAATTTATATTTATTTTTTATTGTAATTTGGATTTATTTCCTATTTTATTTAGGGTTGTACTTCTTTATATATACCTCCATATTAGAGAAGAATAAAAATGAGCGAATATGAGCATGTATGATCATAATTGAATATTTTGCCCTACTTTGTTTGACATGGTATCGTAGCGGGTTGATTGACTAGGCCTGAATTGGGCCTCTACCCTTACCCAATGTGTGGTGTTCACATGTTGAACTTAAATGTTTTCCCCTACCCTAGTGCTCACGTGTTGGGCTTGAACGATTGACTCCAATGTTGTCACACCCCAATTTTTATTTTATTTTTTATTTGGGAATGTGAGGTAAAAGAAAAACTAAAACTAAAAATTTAAATATCAAGAAACATGAAGATTGAACATAAACTTCCATTTAACTCAAAGTAATTTACATTATACTATTACAAGCAAAATAACAAGAAAGTAACAAACTTTCAACAAAACACTCAAAACTAAACATAACCCGTTCTTCTTGTTTGCTCAGGAAAAACTAAACTTCAGATTCAAAACCTGCAATAGATTCAATAAGGGGTGAGCATTACATGCTCAGTAGGGGTCCTATGTCTTATATGATTGGTGAGATTTATAATGTACAATTTATGCAATACATAAATGAACTTCAATTCTACCCAACCCATTAATCTACATAATAGGGGAAGCAAATCTGCATGTCTCAAACCATGCATTTTACCACTGTGATTCCGAATACCCCATTATATAAACTAACACCCATCTCAATCATCCCATAATTCCCCTTTTGCTAGTCATCTTGTCTACATCATTGATCTCCAAGCCCAAATCACCCAATTGACAATTATACTGCCGATTTCCTAATCTACTGTGCACACGGGCTCGCCTAAACTTGGTCCCTGCAATGGTTAGACTCAACTACACAAAAGATTCTTCCCATTATCCTCTTTTCCATAATTTTTTTATCAACCCAAAAATTCCAACCACCACTGATAACATATGAATATGTCAAAATTAATCAAATTATAATGATAATTGACAACACGTATACATCTAATATCAAGGATAACAATCAAACAATATCACCAAGCATAATATAGAATTTATAATAATAATCAAATAATATTACCAAGCATAATGTAGTATTTTCAATATTTAATTAAATCAATGTATGCGAAATCTCCCCAAGAAAAACCCCTACCTCAAATGCAAAGCTATTGTATAACTCCCACTTGTAAGTTCAAATACTTTGAGCTTCTTCAAAACCTCACCACACTTAATTCTCTTATTTTCTTTTGTCTACGATTTTTTTAGGAAACTACTATAACTTGAAGAACTTATGATTCAATAACTATTAGTTAGAACTATATATAGTAGGTTAGAGTCGGTAAAGGAAATATGGATGAAGCTTAACATTATGCCACCTAACTAACCTAGGGATCTCTAGACTACATCCTAGGATTTATAGACTACATGGGTGGCTTGAAGGTAAAACTGCCACCCCATTTAGTCTTAGGTGTTGGCTTCCGAAGAGTTCTTAGTGAGCACCTGCCAATTACATTTATATATATATATATGAATATCTATTGTTCTTACACCTTATACCAAGACATACCACCTTATACTTCAATTGGTTTTTGAAGACTCCCTAATGCAACACGTCACTTGAGAGAAAGCTTAGTAAGCATCAATACTTTTCTAAAAGCTTTTGTGTGTATAGAATAAATATTAAATGAATTGCTATAGATAAAATCATACAATGAGGTTTGATAGGCTATAGCTAGATTCACGTAGGTTTACAGATGTGGACTTGGCTCCACATGTGGCCCACTATGTGGTGGTCCCACATGAGGGGGCGTGTTGAAGAATATGAGTCCCACATCGAAAACTTGACTGAATAAAATATAATATATAATGAATGATTTCACTACTAATATCACCGAGACTTTATTCATCATTCAAGGTACTTCAAAAAACTACTCCTAATACCCGAGAAAAATCCCCGAAGCTCTCTATCTTTCCACTCTCCACTTTCCATATTTTTTTCAAACGGCTTCGACCGCTCGGTTCACATCATACATATATCTCCGTAACCTTTCCTTAGCTATTGTTTTCCTACAAACACTCGAACTAACTTAGGTAGCAGAGGGCCTTTGGCCAAAACCCCTCATGTGTGGTCTATTTACTCAAGTTTTTTTTACAGGAATTGAGGAAGAGAGAGAAGGAAGATCGAAGGTTGAAGGATCTAGAAGCAAATATTCTCCCGCGAAATTATTTGCACAAACAACCCCAATGTCAAACGCATATATTTTTTAAGAAGAAGAGGACCTCATTATCAGACTTTAAAATCTCCTTCCATTAAGGCAATAAAAAAAATCATCCATGCAATACAATTCTTACCAATATTATGGATTATATAAATATCTCACTAACTGTAAGGCAATCAAAAAAAAGATTTATAGTTGAATTAGACTAACCATTGCCATTGGCCTTAAACTCACCTGAGGCGACGGCATGTGCCCACCTATATGCATAAGAATAGGATTTGATGGTTAAGCGCATCCTGTGAAAAAAGAATTAAAAACCTATGAAATCCTGACATTCTTGAAAATTGAACAAATTACTTAGAAGAAAGTATGAAATTCTGACATTCTTGGAAATTAAACAATGGTTTAGAAGGAAGTTACTGAAGAATTTGTTCCACCGAGTCCCTCATTAGAGCAAAGCGAGTTCCTCGATTTTTGTGAAGAAGATGATGGTTTGATCAAGGAATGAGTCTACTGGTGATTAAGAATTGATTTTTTTTTTTTTTTTTTGTGAGCTAGAATTGATCAAGTCCGACTCAACCTCTACGAATTTAGGTAAAGAATAAACTCCTCTTAATAAGAGTTTATTCTCTATAAAACCCTAGCCCCAAGACTCCTAAAAATAGATGACTTCATTCATCATTCAAGGTACTTCAAACAACCCATTCCTAATACCCAAGAAAAATACCCGAAGCACTCTCCCTCTGCACTCTCCACTCTCCATATTTTCTCCACGCGGCTCTGGCAGCCGGATTCACACCATACATACATCTCTGTACCCTTTTCTTAGCTATTGTTTTCCTACAAACACTCGAACTAACTTAGGCGCCAGAGGGCCTTTGGCCAACACCCCCCCAGGTGTGGTCTATTTACTCTAATTTTTTTTACAGGAATCGAGGAAGAGAGAAAATGAAGATCGAAGGTTGAAGGATCTAAAAGCGAATATTCTCCTGCGAGATTATTTGCACAAACAACCCCAATGTCAAACGCATATATTTTTTAGGAAGAAGAGGACCTCATTATCAGACTTCAAAATCTTCTTCCATTAAGGCAGTAAAAAAAATCATCCATGCAAAATAATTCTTACCAGTTTTATGGATGATATAAATATCTACCGAACTATAAGGCAATAAAAAAAAATAAAAAAAAAGGTTTATAGTCAAATTAGACTAACCATAGCCATTGGCCTTAAACTCACATGAGGCGGCATCATGTGCTCACCTAGATGCTTTGGAATAGGATTCTAATAGTTTAGTGCATCCTGTGACAAAAGAATTAAAAACTTATGAAATCCTAACATTCTTGAAAATTGAACAAATGACTTAGAAGAAAGTATGAAATTATGACATTCTTGGAAATTAAACAACGGCTTAGAAGGAAGTTACTGACCACCCAAGGATGAGGAATTCCCAAAGCTTGTCAGAAATTATTATGAGGTGGGTGTACTCCCCCATGTCATTTTCCTTTCATTAAGATCTTGAAGAATTTGTTCCGCCAAGTCCCCCATTAGAGCAAAGCGAGTTCCTCGAGTTCTATGAAGAAGATGATGGTTTTATCAAGATAGGAGTTTATCGGTGATCAAGTTTTGTGAGCTATAACTAATCAAGTTTGACTCAACCTCTATGAATTTGGGTAAAGAATAAACTCCTATTAATAAGAGTTCATTCTCTACGAAACCCTAGCCCCAAGGCTCCTATAAATAGATGACTTCATTCATCATTCAAGGTAAATCAAAAATCCTACTCCTAATACCTGAGAAAAATACATGAAGCTCTCTCCCTCTCCACTCTCCATATTTTCTCCACATGATTCTGGCCACCCCACATGGCTCCGCCGGCCCGGTTCACACCATACATACATCTCCATACCCTTTTGTTAGCTACTGTTTTCCTACAAACACTCAAACTGACTTAGGCATTGGAGGGCCTTTGGTCAACACCCCCCGAGGTGTGGTCTATTTACTCTAATCTTTTGTACAAGAATCAAGGAAGAAAGAGAAGGAAGATCTAAGGTTGAAAGATCTAGAAGCGAATATTCTCCCGCGAGATTATTTGCACAAACATCCCCAATGTCAAAAGCATATATTTTTTTAGGAAGAAGAGGACCTCATTATTTGACTTCAAAATCTCCTTACATTAAGGCAATAAAACAAATCATCCATGCAATACAATTCTTACTAGTTTTATGGATTATATAAATATCTCCCGAACTGTAAGACAATAAAAAAATATATATAAAAAAGGTTTACAGTCAAACTAGACTAACCATAGCCATTGGCCTTAAACTCACATGAGGCGGCAGCATGTGCCCGCCTAGATGCATAGGAATAGGATTCTAATGGTTGAGCACATCCTGTGACAAAAGAATTAAAAACCTATGAAATTATGACATTCTTGAAAATTGAACAAATGACTTAGGAGAAATTATGAAATTCTGACATTCTTGAAAATTAAACAACGGCTTAGAAGGAAGTTCCTGACCACTTGAGGATGAGAAATTTCCAGAGCTTGTCAGAAATGATTATGAGGTGGTGGTGTGCTCCCCTACGTCGTTTTCCTTTCATTAAGATACTGAAGAATTTGTTCCGCCGAGTCCCCCATTAGAGAAAAGCGAGTTCATCGAGTTCTATGAAGAAGATGATGGTTTGATCAAGAGATGAGTTTACCGGTGATCAAGAATTGCTTATTTTTTGTGAGCTGTAACTAATCAAGTCCGACTCAACCTCTACGAATTTAGGTAAAGAATAAACTCCTCTTAATAAGAGTTTATTCTCTACGAAACCCTAGCCCCGAGGCTCCTATAAATATATTACTTTATTCATTATTAAAGATACTTTAAAAACCTACTCCTAATACCCGAGAAAAATACCCGAAACTCTCTCCCTCTCCACTCTCCATATTTTCTCCATACAATTCTGACCACCACACACTACTTTGGCCGCCCGGTTCACACTATAAATACATCTTTGTACCCTTCTGTTAACTATTGTTTTCCTACAAACACTCAAACTAACTTAAGTAGGCCTGGGCATGGTTCGGGTCGGGTCAATTTTTGGCCGACCCGCTGACCAAACCGAAGATAAGCTCTGTTCTCAGGTCGGGTGGGGTCTAGAGCAAAACCCGAAATTGGGCCGAACTGTAAATGGGCCTCGGTTCTCTGGTCGGTTCTGGTTTGTGATCGGTTTGGGCTTGAGCCCAAATTTACCATTTTCAAAACCCCAATTAATTTTTACTTTCAACCAAAAAAGCCCAAATCAGATTTACTTTCAGCCAAAATCCATTTTTTGTTGTCAAATGGCCAAAATCTAATAAGTTCTTAAGAACAAGCCCAAATCACTGTTTACTTTTCTTTCAAGACCTGAAATTATTCAAATTCAGCCTATAAAAATCCATCATTCCAATCTAAGTTTCTAAACAACTAAATGAATCTCACACACACATTCAACCAAGCAAGCAAGGAAAGGAAAAATAATCTCTTACAAACCATTACAAAAAATAATACACAAATAAAGCAAGCAATCCAAATTAAACTTATGAAATTAAATATTACAACCCATCACAAAAATACACATAAAGATAACATCCTTGCAAAAAATCTGCTTCATCCATTCTTCCAAAGCCTTAACAAAGCAACCTACACAACACTTAAAAGAATTAACACAAACCAGATTCATAACTCTTCGTCTCACACAATCCTTCAAATGTCAAAATGGGAATGCAATGAACATTAACTACAGTATATTTGTCCAAGGAAAATATGAAAGAGAGAAAATCCATCCTCAATTTATTTCAACCAATTGAAACCATGGTTTGGATTCATTTAAAACTTGAAAGTGGGACATTATGTATAAAAAAAAAAAAAGAAAAAAAAAAGCAAAGACTCCAGATTTGGTATAAAACAGAACTTTGCAGTATATGAAAAAGGCCCTATCCCCTTTTCCTATACAACTGAAGCCTTTTGGCTTTCCTCTTTCCGTATCAATTTAAGGTAAGAGAGCATCTCACATTGTATGCAAAGAATGTAGCCAGAAGAGTATATCTTAAGTTCTTATGTAAATAAAGCTGAATAACTCACTTGTTCATGACCTCGAATCTTTACAAAACCCCTCAGCAATTCCCATTTATAGTGGCAATCACCGCTTAGATGGCCAGCACGAATCTGTTCCAAAAAAACAAAGTGTGTATGTTTAAAAGGTAAAAGATTAAATTGAGGTATGAAGAATTACACTACACCCGATACAAGAAAAATATTCAATTGCTATATATTGATGCACACCTCACTACAAGCATGATGTGCACAATTAGCCCAGTTCAAGTTTGCAGCACGACAATCGTCAAAATCATGAATTAGCTCATGTATCACCACTTGGTTGACTTCATCTTGAATGTTCATGTGATTACCACAAACCAGTATCTAGTACACATGAAGACATACAAAACACAAAAAGAAATTAGTTTCATAACAAGCTCTTCCTAGAAATATTTACTATGTGGAAAGAACAGACCATTAAAAGAGCTTCACAAATGAAATAACCAATCAATTGATAGATACCCCAGAGCATGGACATATTGATATATTCTTCTAACATATGTAAATTCTTTATGTTTTTCTCTATTGATCTATCATCTATTCTTCCTTACTCTGTCAAAAAAACACAAAGCATAGACATATTGAGCAGCACAGATAGATTATTGAATGGAATAATCGTTAAAAAAAATGCAATAATATATTCCTCAACTTCAGAGCATATCATTCTGATATAGGTTAAATCTCAAAGAAAAAAAAAACAAAAAAAAAACCCCTAGAATGCACAGAGGAGAGAATTTACCTTCGGCAACGGAGGTGGTTGTGGCGGCTCTTGATCGGGTTTGTGCTGTGCGTGCCTGAAACAGAGATGGGTGATGTGGGTTAAGTTGAGGTCGACTTAAGAGAGAGAGAGAGAGAGAGAGAGAGAGAAGGGATGATACCTGGCAGACGAGAGATCGTGAGATCGATGAAGAAGCGGCACAGATGCTGTCGTCGAAATTTCTGAGCACTCGATTGAAGATCTGAGGTGAGGTTGGGAGAGAGAGGCGCAGGCGCAGCAGTAGCCACAACTGCTTAGGTCAAAAAGAGAAGAAAGAATGAAAACTAAAGAGAAGAAAGAGACTGAGTGAAAGAAGAGGAGTCGCGTGCGAGAGGGTTACGGAAAAAAAAAAATCTGAGGGATACGCTGCAACCAGTCTCACATGAAACTATTTTTTGGCCAATCAAACGAAGCCACGTGTAATGTATATATATTTAAATATTGTCTGGTTCGGTTCTGGTCCACCGGTTCTGAAAAATTTGGAGCCGAAGGCCGAACCGTGGACCTTCGGTTCGGTTCAGGTTCATAGTTGACTTTTTCAATTTAGTCAAAAAAACTCCCTTTTTCGGTTTGGTTTGGTTTGGTTCGGTCGGTTTGATCGGTTTATCGGTTTTTATGCCCACCCCTAAACTTAAGCATCAAAGGGCCTTTGGCCAACACCCTCCGGGTGTGGTCTATTTACTCTAGCCTTTTTTTACTGGAATTGAGGAAGAGAGAGAAAAAATATCAAAGGTTAAAGGATCTAAAAGCGAATATTCTTCCGCGAGATTTTTTGCACAAACAACCCTAATGTCAAACGCATATATTTTTTAGGAAGAAGAGGACCTCATTATCAGACTTCAAAATCTCCTTCCATTAAGGCAATAAAAAAATCATCCATGCAATACAATTCTTACCAGTTTTATGGATTATATAAATATCTCCCTAACTGTAAAGCAATAAATAAAAAAAGGGTTTACAGTCGAATTAGACTAACCATAGCCATTGGCCTTAAACTCACATAAGGCGACGACATGTGCCCTAGCATAGGAATAGGATTATGATGGTTGAGCGCATCTTGTGACTAAAGAATTAAAAACCTATGAAATCCTGACATTTTTGAAAATTGAACAAATGACTTAAAAGGAAATATAAAATTCTGACATTCTTGGAAATTGAACAATGGCTTAGAAGGAAGGCAAAGCGAGTTCCCCTCAGGTATTGTGAAGAAGATGATGGTTTGATCAAGAAAGGGGTCTACCGGTGATCAAGAATTTTTTTTTTTTTTTTTTGTGAGCTGTAACTAATATAACGAACGTTCCCTCCCATTTATTTTGTATAGAGAAGGGCATGTTTGTCCTTTAACGTGTGGGGATATTGTACTTTTTTTTATATTTCTTCTTAATTAGATTTTTCTAGAGGACGTGTCTTTTTGTTTTTTCATTTTTTTGTTTCTATTTCCCTTCGTATCCTTCAATGATTAAATATGTTATTATTATTATTTTTAAATCTTGGTCTTTTTCTTAAAATCTTTTGAGTGCTACTAAATGAACCTTAAAATTAACTAAGTACACCTTATAATCTAAGTTCACCTTAATATTTAAATCAAAATGTAAAATTAGCTAAATTTCAGACCGAAAGAAAAAAGCGAAGGAGAGTCTTCATACTCGAAAGGACACTTTACCCCTCATTTTGACGGACAAATTGACAGAGTTGGATGGCAGGACCAAATTGGAATTGTTTGTCCAGTTAAAGAATGTAATTGCCTAAAAAAAAAGGTTCATGGACCCAATTGCAATTGGGGGCAAAGTTCAGGGACGTCTACAGTAGATAACCCTTAATGTATTTAAGAAATAATAAATATGAATGCATGTAAATTTTCTAGGGTTGTGTAGTTGGATTGAAAAACTCGCAAACTATTGATTCCCAACTAAAAATCCTGAACAATAAATTGATTCACTAACATATGTGTCAAAATAAATAGCGAACTCATAACCTTTATACTTTCCACCATTGTCAAAGCATAGAACTTTGACAAGTCATGAAAGTGGGTTTGAATTATAATATGAAAATTGTGAGATACACAAAGAATTGCATTCTTGCACTTGATAAGATAAGTCATGTCATCCTTTTATAGTAGTCAATAAATTATAAAAACCACCTTATGTTTGAGGAAGCATGAATTAGCAAGGGACCCCACACATTCTAATGTACTAATAGAATTCAATTATGAAAACAATGAAGGTGATAAGAACAACTAAACGAGAGATCCCCAAACGTCTTTAAGAATTAACCACCCATATTATTAGTCTCACGGGTTTATTGTCAATTTAACCCCCCCCAACTTAATCACCTACAAAGCCCAGTAAGTGTGGGGTTTTATCTCAAAAGGCCTCAAAGATATTAGTAGCGAAACCATGCATTATATATTTTATTTTATTTAGTCAAGTTACCGATGTGAGACTCATATTCTTCAACATATATATACATATATATATAATAAAAATAAAACAAAACAAAACAAAAATTAACAACAAAGTGTTGACTTCTAAATATTTTTGACCAACTAGGTGAATTATTCCAAATAAAATAATTGATGGGCCAAACGGATTTGGCAACAAAGTCGTCTTTCTTGGTGTGAGCATGTTTGCATGGCGTGCTAGCTTTTGAGGCCGAATTCAAAGATGGTCGTGAAAGCAAAGAGTGGTATGGCAATAAACGCCATGATCTTGACTTCAACAAATGATCTGGTCCGAGTTAGGAAAGTTTTCTCCGTTGTTGAGTTCTTGACCTTGGTAACAAAGCTACTTGTATTGCGTCATGTTGAGTGCTGGGTACTAACACCCTCAATGTTGTCGTGCTCGGTTGTCAAATGATATCTCAAGTCATCTTTGAGATGAAACAAAACAAAAAGTTGGTGAGAGAAAAGGTGATGTAGAACATATGGCCGAGTTGATCAAGGAACAGCTGGACAGGCGCGCACGTCATCGCGCCAACAAAGCCCAATCTGTGCAAGTATGGGCTCTAAGCTTAGAATCAGGCCCATGACCTATCGTTTCGAAGAGAACGGCGTGACAAATACAACTCACTGCTTAGCTGTGATGTATGGGCTATTTTAGCCAAATTCTATCGTTTACTTTGACTTTTCAGCATTTAAAGTTTTTAGAATATTTTGGGAAACTTTATTATTTTCCTTTTTGTTTTCTAATTAGCTTTCTTAGCAAGTCTAGGGTTTCTCATTAGCTTTCCAAGCAAGTCTAGGGTTTCTCTTGTATAAAAGGAATGCGTTGGGGCATCCTAAATTTATTCATCTTATTTTCAATCAATATATTTGAGGTTTACTCAATTTCTCTGGTGGATTCTGACATTGTTACTTATAGGGTTATCGTTCGATCTCCATATCCTTTATATCTCGCTGCATCAAAAGGGATTGGATGGTGCTCAAACAAACTCTGAAGAACATAGTTGTTTGTTGATATATTGAATGAGCAATTAAAATGGTGGTGCGCAAGAACTTTGAACAAGCTTCAAAATAAAATTTATCTAACCCTAGTTTAGGGAATACATTTAACAACATTTCAGCTTGGTTATCTTGTTAAGAGATTGGTCTTCCTTAAAAATGAGACTTGCCTTGTTATTTATAAGTTGCCGCCTTCAAAAGGTGCCAAGATATACAGGGATGGCCCAAGTAAATCATTTGTGTGAGACGCCTTCTATCTCCGTCAAAAAACCTTCTCGATCTCTACTTTCGATGGTACTTTCTCTTCAAACCTTCATTTTAAGTATTGGGGTTTCTACTCTAATTGACTCAAGTTCCAAGGAGCGGGTTTGACGTCCCCTCACTTCTTTTACCATGTTGCTTGGCACTTTTCTGAAGACGGTGCACGTGAAATCCCCTTTTCTAGTCAGTGCCTGCAATTTTACTTGGTCGAGACCCTCAAGGCTAGACCTGACAATATTGCACACGACCTGTTAACACGACACAAATTCGCACGAAATTATCAGTATTTGGGTTGAGCTTATTGGGTCGGGTTGAAAACGGGTGAACCCGTTAGCCACCCGTTAAGCTAACAGGTCGTGTCGGGTCGAAAACTAGTTAACCCGTTAGCCACCCGTTAAAGAGGTTAATTTTGTAATTTTAAAAGATAATTTTTTTTCTTTTCTTCTTCCCCTTTTCTTTCTTCTTTTCCATGTCTTTTTCTTCTTTCCCTTGTTTACTTTTCTTCTTTCCTTGGGTTTAGTATTTGTCAACCGTTAACTTAACGGGTCGTGTCGTGTTAACCCGTTAAGTTAACGGGTTGACACGAACACGACCCGAAACCCGTTAATACAACTCGTTTACCAAGTCTACTCAAGACCAAGGAACAATGCCGAAGTTTGACTTTGGTCAAACTCTAGGCCATGCTCAAAGTATTGGGTTCGACTTAAGACTTGGGCCATCTCCTAGTGCTTGAGCCGAGATTTTGAGCCATGGTATTCGGGCCTTGTGAATTTTAGTCAACACTTTCTTGCTTTGGGTCGCCTTGTTCAACTTATTTTGAGACCTAGACCAAGCTTGTTGTGCAACCTTTTGGTTTTGGGTACTTCCATTTCTAGGCCCAAAGTGTAACACCCCGGCTCCAAATTTAATTCCTTATTTAATTTATTTAAGTGAAATTACGAATTTACCCTTGGGGTAGGGGTATTTTGGTCATTTTCTTTTTCAAAAAGAGTTTGGGGGCAGTGACTAGAATTTTTGGGTT